AAAAAAAAAAAAGTGTTTTATTTTCTTCAATATAAAAACTCACACAGAAAAGATTAGAGTGCCCTCTTTGGACCCACAACCAGCTTGAACTGTCAACTCTTGGCCAACCTTATTTCGATTCATACTTCACCGGTTCTTTCTGCCACATACACCCTGAACAGCGCTTCTTTTAGAATATAAGCCAGACCATGTCACTTCTCTGTTGAAATTCCTTTGCTTAAGGAGAGCAAAAATTCCTGCCAGGGCTCTCCTCATTGGGAGGAGAGTCTGGAGTCCTCTCCAAGGCCTGCCAAGGTACTGTAAGACTAGTCATATCATCTCTCTGTCTTTGACTTCTTTTCTGCAGGACCTTTGCACTTGCTATTCCCTCCGCTCAACACTCTTCCCTGGGATAGGTGCATGGCTCCTCTCTCAGGTCTTTTACTCAAAGCTATCTTCTCAGAGTGGCCCACCCTCAGGCCCTATTTAAACTTCCAACTTAGGGGCTAGTGGGATGGCTCAATGGTGAGACCCTCAGTTCAATTCTCAGGACAACATACATACATACATACATACATACATACATAAATAAATAAAATAAACTTCTAACTCACACTCATGATTCCTTTTTTCCTAAACAGTGCAATTTATTTATTATGTTCTTTTTTGTAGTACTGGTGATTGAGCACCAGGGTGTCCTACCACTGAGTCACATCCCAAGCCCTATTTATTTATTTATTTGTTTGTTTGTTTTAAATATTTACTTTTTTATTTTAGGTGGACACAATATCTTTATTTATTTTTATGTGGTGCTGAGGATCAAACCCAGTGCCTCCCACATGCCAGGCCAGCGTGCTACCACTTGAGCCACATCCCCAGCCCCCTTTTTATTTTTTTATTCTGAGACAGGTCTAAGTTGCTTGGGGCCTCACTAAATTGCCAAGGGTGGCCTGGAACTTACCATCCTCCTGCCCCAGCCTCCTGAGTCACTGTGAGTACAGCATATGCCACTGCACCCAGCCTTGTTTCTTGTCTATAGTAGACAAGCCACTGCATAAGCCCTTCCCTCTGTCCAGTAGAATATCAGCTTCATGAAGCATGTATTTTTGTTACTGCTCCCAGCATTTCTGAACATACTCTTGGGCATAAAAAGTCTTGCCACCCTAGAGAGGGGGCGAGTACAATTCAGCAGGATTTGATTGATTTTTAACACTCAGGAACATGCTCTAGACAAACATGCATATGGGTGAAAGTGAAAACCAGAGCAGAACATTTCATTGATTGCGATTTTTTTCGCAATAAAAACAGGAATAAATATCTTCATCATAACAGCTAATATACTGCCAGGCGCTGTTCTTTGCACATTTTAACTCACTTAATTGTCACATTGGCCTATAAGGCAGGAAGGGAAAAACTCCATTCATACCACTCTTTCTCAAGTTTGAGACTTTGCAAATCTCTCCCTTCACTTCACCAGCTATTTCAGGATTTCCCCTTCACTTGAGTCTTTCAGGGCTGAAATGCTCCCTAGGAACCAGAAGGAGTAGTTGTCCCCAGGAACCAGGTGTAGATGTGGGGGGGGGCCTAGGGTTGAGGGGATGGGGTCATATTTAATCCCATTTGGGACACCAGGACCTCTTGAGGGGAAGAGCAGGATGTTCCAGGATGTCCAGAACCCAGGCGCGGGTGTGAGTTTTCGGAAAACGTGACAACAGATCCCAAGGCCCAGCGGGAACCTGGAGCCCGAACAAGGCCTCCAGGGGAGGGAGCGCTCTTGCAGGGATTGGGTAGTTAGAACGCCTGGAGGTGCGGCTCACCCTAGGATTGGGCAGCCAGAGCTTGAGAGGCGGGACCGAGCGACCAGAAGGCGGGTGGAAAGGCAGGGAGCATCTTAGGATTGGGCAGCAGGAGCCACGGGAGGCGGAGCCGCGAGCCCAGCGGGTGGCGGCACCGGTAGTCCGGGACCCAGACCAGCAGTTTGGCCCCTGGGCGGAGCTCGCAGGTGTCGGGGGCGGGGCCTTGAGCCGGAGCAGGCGGGGCCAAGCTCAGCGGGGGATGGGGGCGTCTCCTCCCTCGCTCGCTCGCTCGCTCCATCCCCCTCCCTCCGGCCGGGCCCCCTTACCCGTGGCGGCCGCTTCGCTGGCCGCGCTCCAGCGAGATGAGGTAGGCGGCGAGCTTGGCGTCGCTCCAGCCGCTGCGGCGCCGCAGGTCCACCCAGGGCCCGTGCGCCTCGCCCAGGTACACGCGCCGCACGTCGTACTTCTTCCGGGACTCCAGCCGCCGCCGGGCTCGGTCCGACTCCGTAAGCCGCGGTCGGCCCCGCGCCTTGCGGCCCGCCGCTCCCTCCTCAGCCGCCGCCTCCCCGCCTGCGCCCGCCTCAGCCTCCGCCTCCGCCTCGGGCTCCGGCGCCCGCTCCGCCATCCCCCCCACCCTAGTTACCAGCCTCCCCCGTTGTTAGGAGCCCGACCGGAAGTGGCGCACATTTTCGGCGCCACCGGGAAATTTCTCGCGGACCCTCACTGACCGGCAGCGCCAAAAGGACACCTAGAGCAGAATGTGCGCATGCGCTCTCTCTACCCGCCTCTTTTCGTTATTTTTCAATTTCGCTTAGAGAGCGTGAAGTTCCTGGCAGTAGAGCTTGTAGGCCTGCCGAGTGGGAAGGACCCATCGCCGACTCCCCAGTATTTGCGATCTTTAAGAGGGGTTGCTTCACAGCCAAGGAGGGAAGACAGCCCCAAGCAGGAAAACTTTTATTTGCTGTACACTCAAAGGTCATCTTGTGCTTTCGCACCAGTCTTCTGCCTGTGCCCTACTGCCCGCTCACACTCAACTCCGGCCCTGCTGCTGTTGCTTCCGGTGATCATCATCTTCCTCCTGGACCTCGCACAGGGGCCGGGGTGGCTCTTCCAGCCCTGAAGATGTCAAGAGCTCCCCTGTGGACCCTGCCAGGCGAAAGATCACTGGAATCTGGGCCAGGGCTGGATTAGTCTCCTGCAGGCCCTGTATCCACTTGGCTAGTGTCGCCTGGTCGTGAGCACCTGCCATGCACATGGCGAAGATGGGTCCTTCTTCCACTGTTGGGAGAGAGGGCCCTCAGAGTTAGCAGTGGGATGTAGAGGCCTCCCTACCCATGCCTCTTGAAGGACTTTGTGGTGAAGACCTTTGCACAAATGGTCCCTCACATAGACTCATTATGTGGGCCATGCCTCCTGCTTCTTCCAGGTTCTGCCAGGAAGCCTTCCTGAATGCCCCCACTTGAGGCTGGGTGGCATGTTTCTCCCCTGAGCTTCTCAAAATGAAACCTGCCTGTCTCCCCATTGACTCGTGGACTGCGTCTGTCCTGATAATACCCAGTCACTAGCACAGAAGTGCTCCTTAAATTTGTCATGGAGGGAGGGAAAAACCAAGGGATGACAGGCCTGAGTGGCCTCAGTTCTAGAGTCCTAGGGGCACATTACATGTATGAGGGAGTGGGTATATAGGCTGTCTCTCAGCCTAGGACTCCAAAGGTCACACCTCACCTTGTGTTGGGTCCTGAGTTTTTAGATGTGTCTGTGTGTGTATGTGGTGTTGGCCATTGAACTTGTGTATGCTAGGAAAGCACTCTACCATGCTCAAGTTTTTACCTTCATCAATGTCAAATTCATAGTCATCCCAGCCACTTCTTCCATAGTCCAGGTCCAGTTGCATTGGGTAGTAGAGGTTCCATTCCTCTGGAATCTTTTCCACTTTCTACCTCGAGAAGCAGGGTAGAGGCAGGGTCAGAGGCCCAGGATCTAGTAAAGGAGGCCTAGCCTCCCTTTCTACCAGCCCACCACCCATGCCCTGTACATGCTTAGACTCTTACCCTCTCTTCAGGGGGCAGCAAGTCAGCTCTGAGGATGTGGTAATACACACACTTGCTGCGGAGCCACAGGGAGAAGGGACCCTCAACGAAGACAGGCCGTGCTGGGTTATGGTGGGCCAGAGCTGCTTGCTGATCGGGACTCTGGATACCTGGTATGGACACACATGTACCCTGCTGTCCTGAGAGGCTCTGCCCACCTAGCAGGCCTGGTAGAAGCCAGAAGTGGCTGGGACAGGTCAGTGGCCTGGCTTCCCCATGCTTGGGTCCTTACCTACGATGTGTGGCTGGATGGGATCTTCTGTACCTGTCAAATCATCAGACAAAGGCATCTGCAAAAAGGATCAGGGTAGAAGCTTGTGACCCTCAGCCTCTACAGAGGCGGCCAGGAGAAAGAAAGGGATGCCAGCAAATCCAGTACTCCTCCATGGGGTCTCTTACATGTCACTAAAAACCCATCCTCAGGACTGGGGTTGTAGCTCTGTTAGAGCAATTGCCTAGCACAGGTGAGGCACTGAGTTCTATCCTCAGCACCACATAAAAATAAATAAAATTCTCTCCTCCTTTCTATCCAGTTGGGCCAGAACCACCAACATCAAAGACCTTCACAGCAAGGGAACCCTGGAGCCAGCCCCCTTATGTTAAAAATCCTGGCTCTGTCACAAGCTGCATAACCTCAGCCTTTTGTTCCTCCCAAGTGCAAAACAAGGACAATAATGGCTCTTCAGATGGTACTAAAACACTGAGTGCCTGGCATGGAACAAGTGCTTAGGGCTGGTGAATTAAAGAAAAACAGCCAGGCATAAGATCAAAGCCAGCCTCAGCAACTTAGTGAAACCCTGTCTCAAAAAAAGGAAAAAAAAAATAATTCACATTCAGATATCTCAAGAAGGAAACATGAAAAACAAAAGACAGTGTTCCAAAGTGAGAAGGAACTCTCTTTTGTATCTTTTCAAAGTTTATACCCTGAACATAATTTTAAAAATACAACAAAATAAAACAATGTTTTGCAACATCCACAATTCTTTGACTAAAATACCAGACTGAACAACATTTGTAATGCATATTGTGTGTCCTTTCAAGTTATAAAGAGCTGAGATGGATCAATGTCTCCCAGTCATGATTTTCCCCACTTAATGGTGCTGTGAATGTAATGGAGGGCCCTGTGCATGCAAGGGAGTCTCTCTACCAAGGAGCAAAATATCCCCCTAGCTCAGTTAGACCATTAAGTAAAAAGAACAAAAGGCGAGGTATAGAATATGTATATAAAATGCTCTCCCAACCAGGCATGGTGGCACACACCTGAAATCCCAGCTACTCCAGAGGCTGAAGGAAGAGGATGGCAAGTTTGAGGCCAGCTGGGCAACCTAGCGATTACCCTGTCTCAAAAAATAAAATTAAAAGGGATGTAGCTCAGGGGTAGAATAATTGCCAGATTTGCAAAGCCCAGGATCCAATCACCAGTACTGCCAAAAACCACCAACAAAACCAGGTGAGGCCTTGGAGGAGGTCATGGGGTCAATGGAGGCATCACCCTTTGGAAAAGACCAAATGTAGTTCTTGCAGGACTGATATCCCAGATTGGTTTCCACCCAGGTCTGGATTGGTGCTCTTTAATGTGGGTTGTTAAAAAATAAGTGAGGCTGGCCCCTGAATTTCTCTGCCTTTCTGTCTTGCTGTATGATTTCTTCTGTGTGTGCTTCCACCATAAGCCAAACAGATGGGAGCTGTCTGATCTTGGATTTTCAGCTTCTGAAACTGCAAGCTAAATAAACCTTTTTCTTTTTTATTTCTGGTACAGGGAATTGAACCCAGAGGTGCTCTGCCTCAGAACTATATTCTTAGCCCTTTTTATTTTGAGTTAGAATCTTGCAAAATTGCTAAAGTTGACCTCAAACTTGCAACCCTCCTGTCTCGGCCTCCTGAGTTGCTAGGTTTACAGGCATGTGCCATTAAGCCCAGCATCTTTTTTCTATATAAAGCACCCATGCTCAGGTATTTTGTTACAGCAACAGGAAAATGAACTGATGCATCCAATCTACAATATTTTGTTATAGCAGCCAAATGGATTCTAAGAGGTCAAGCTGTGGTAAGGAGTAAGGGCCATGGGAATCTACTGGAGGGCTCAGCCAGGCAATCAGTCACTTAGGTGGGTGAGGGGGCTATTAGGAGCAACAGTGTGACCCAACCAGGGGCAAGAGTTGCTGGAGTGGACAGGAGTAGATACCTGGTATACTGTGATCCTGGCACTGAGGTCAGGTTCTATGTGCCGCAGGCCCAGCTTAGCCAGGTCCACGGGGTCCTGGGGCAGGTCACGGGGCACAGGGAAGGGATTGATGTTCTTGAAGCGGGTGAGCCATAGCCGCATACGCAGGTACTTGAGCATGGGGTAGCTTTTACGTCCAAATATCTGGATCAGCAGAAACTCTGTCTCTTTGTTGGGCATCACTCCTGTGCCAGGCAGATGCAGACATTACCTCAGGGAGGGAGGGAGAGGAGTGAAAGGGAAAAGGAAGATAGAAAATTGAAGTCAGGGGACAGATAACAAAATCAAAGGGAAAGACAGGAGGAGGCAGGAAAAAGACGAGAGAGAGAAAAAAGTGGAGCCAGGGAGTGATGGAGGGGCCCAAGAACTAGAGCAGGAGGTGGCCTGCTGTGAGGGTCACCCACTGCCCCACCCTGAGCTGCGCCCAGGCCTCACCGTGATTCTCCATCTGCTCCAGGACAGCAATCCCACACTCCTGCTGCCGAGGATAGTGGAGGAAGATGCGCTGGATAACGCTGCGAGGCCGGAAGACCTCCTTGGGGAAGATGTCCAGGAGAAGGTTGTAGACGGTCAGATCCCGTTCAACGCCATACTCCCGCATCTTACGCAGGGCCAGGTAGATGAAGTCAACGTGGCCACGCTTGCGCACATTGTACTGCCCAAAATTCTGCACAGCCCGCACGAAGCTTGCTTTGTCTCGCTCCCCACCTGGTTCCTGCCTAAACAGCTCCTCATGGGGCGCCGGGGCCTTAATGGGCTTCTTCGGGGGCTCAGGTGGATGAGGAACCAGTGACATTTCAGAGTTGTGGGTGGCTGTACTACAGTGGAGGCCCCGCAAGGCCTGGGGGAGCACCTGGGGACAGAGGACAGCTGCTGTAATCTCTTTCCTGAGAGAGGCCCTTGGCATCTTGAGGGTCTCTGAGGAATTCGGTAGTGGGTTACAAACCCAAGATCAGACACCAATACAGAGTGACAAAACACAATGCAGGCGCAATACTGACAGTCTTCCCTGCCAAGAACTGTTGAGCTTCTTTATGAACTTTTTTTTTCTTTTTGCAGTGCTGAGGATCAAACCCAGGGCCACACACATACTAAGCAAGCAATGCAGTCCTTGAGCAGGTTATAAATGTGAGGCTCATTTAATCTTTATAACTGTCCACAAGAGGAAGCATTTTCATGTTCATTTTACAGATGAGAAAACCGAGGAATGGGGAGATGAAGTGGGATGCCTGGGACCACATGGCTGCAAAGCAACAGAGTGAAGACTGCAGCTCTCCACTCTCTACTCTGCTGCTGCCCCCAACAGCCAGCCCATATCCTGATTAAATCAGATGTAAAATAGGAGCTGGAGCCGGGGGCCGTGGCGCACACCTGTAATCCCAGCAGCTTGGGAGGCTGAGACAGGCGTATCAGGAATTCAAAGCCAGCCTCAGCAATGGTGAGGTGCTGAGTAACTCAGTGAGGCCGTGTCTCTAAATAAAATACAAAAAAGGGATGGGGATGTGGCTCAGTGGTGGAGTGCCTCTGAGTTCAATCCCTGGTACTATAAATAAATAAATAAATAAAATAGGGATGGAGCGTGATTCTCCATCTGTTCAGTGTCAGAGCGCTCGTTTGCTTAACATGTGAGGCTCTAGTTGCATCTCAAGCACTGCAAAAAGAAAAAAAAAAATGGCACTCATTTAAAGTGAAATTTCAGCCAATTAATACTACAGGTGGTGTGGGCATAGGGCACAAATCAGAAAGGAAACACTAACTAGAGTGCACAGTGAAGGGGAAACCCCACAAATGGGATGCTGGAAGGGAAGTGAAGCGGACAGCAGAGGTCCAGGCTGGGTAACTGCTCATCAAGGCAGCGCTTACCCTTCCATCATTGCTGTTGTGACCTATGGCTAATGACATGCTTCCACTTTCAGGTCACTTTGGTATAGGAAGTAAGTTCAATTGTCTGTGTCCATCTCTATACCTGCTTGCAGGAGCTGCCCATAGTTATCACCCAAATCTCCTTAGCTCATATGTCCTTAATTTCAAAGTCAATGGCTTGGCCCACATGGGTACTAGCACCCCTTAAAATAAGTTAGGGGGCTTAGGGTGGAACACTCATCTGGCATATGCAAGGTCCTGGTTCTGTTCTCAGCACCAGTAAATATATACATAAATTAGGGACTTTTTACGGGCCTTCAGCACAGAGGGGCCAGCTCAGACCAACCAGAGCTGACTTCTTTGAGTAGATTTTAGAAGGGTTAAAAGCAAGTCCCAGGGGCAGGGATTGTCCCAGGCTCAGGGGTACAGCGCTTGCCTAGCATGCGTGAGGCACTGGGTTTGATCCCCATTACCACATAAAAATAAAAACAAATAAAATAAAGGTATGTGTCCATCTACAACTAAAACAAATTTTATAAAAAGCAAGTCCCAAGCCTTCCTCCCTCCATCCTCATGCAATGCCCACCTGCTGGTTACCTGAGAGAAGGGGGCTCCAGTGAGGGCAGCCCCACAGATGCCTCCCCAGCCCCTTGAGAGGCCTCGGGCCAGAAGGATGGCTTGCACCCAGCTCATACCTCCGCCGGTTGGACAGCCACCTGGCCAAGACACAAGAGATGCATCAGCCTGGCAGCCTAGCTACTAACAGAAACAAGAAGGTGTAGTCCAGACTCTATGGCTACCTCACCAGCCCTGCTATGACCCTGTTGTGACTTCAAATGGTTTTCTGATCCAGAAGATGGGCTTGGGTAAGGGTTGTGGCCCAGTGGTAGAGCCTAGCATGTGTGAGGCTCTAGGTTTGATTCTCAGCACCTTATATAAATAGACAAAATAACAGTCCTTTAACAACTGAAAAAAAAAAAAAGTATATTTTAAAAAAATGGACTTGGGTGACTATTATAATTAGGGGTCCAGGTTCTGCTGTGCCAAACCTTTCACTGTCTTCACAAATTTGCTAGTGTAACAGTTCCCTCACCTCACTACTGGAACATTCTTCTTCTTTTTAATTTATTGCCTATTTTATTACATAAAGAGATCTATAAAGTGTGCTTCTCACCCAGGGGGGATTGAACCCAGTGCCATGGTGCTGGCAGGTGCTCTACCACTGAGGTATATCCCAGGCCCTTTAAATTTTTTTTTTTTAATTTTGATACAGTGTCTTAATAAGTTGAGGAGGCTGGACTTGACTTTGCAATCCTCCTGCCCCAACCTTCCAAGTGGCTGGGATTGCAGGTGTGTGCCATGGCACCGAGCTGAGAGAACACTGTATATATATGTTCTGTACCTGGCCTTTTGCTGTTTTCATGTAGTAGTGTGACTGGGCTGAGGCTGTAACTCAGTGGTAGAGCAGCTGCTTAGCATGCATTACACCTGGCTCTATCATTTTGTTTTTCAAATATCTGTTTGTTTGTGTTTGTTTTTCTTAATTTTTTTTTAGTTTTAGGTGGACACAATATCTTTATTTTTTATTTTTATGTGATGCTGAGAATCAAGCCCAGTGCCTCATGCTTGCTAGGCGAGCACTCTACCACTGAGCCACAACCCCAGCTCTGTTTGTGTTTACTTTTGAGACAGGGAACCATTATGTTGCACAGGCTGGTCTGAAACTTATAGACTCACATGATCCTCATATCTCAGCTTCACAAGTAGCCAGGACTACAAGCATATGCCACCACAACTGGCTCACATATCCCTTTTAAAATTTTTAAATAAATACTGGGTGAAGTGCCACACCACTGTAAATCATGAGTCTGATATAGGTAGAAAAAAAATTCCAGACCAGCCTATGAAACTTAGCAAGACCCTGCATCAGAATAAATTAAAAGAATAAATGAAAGAAAGAGGCTGTGGATATAGGCCATTTGGTACTGAAAACAACAGTAGGAAATAGGAAGGGGTGATACAAAGAGCAGCAGAATAGAATAGACATTATGATTGCTGTATGTATATAGGTGACTGTATGACCAATGTGATTCTGCAATCTGTACAATCAGAAAAATGAGAAATTATACCCTGATTCTAATGTATGAATTGCCAAGATCATTGTAATGTCGTGTAGCTAAAAAAACAACAACAATAAAGGCAAATAAATGTCTCTCTCTTTTTTTTGGGGGGGGAGGAAGGAATCCAATCAGGATCCAATCATGCCCATCCAACATGGGCATGCTAAGCCCATGTTCTATAACCCTAGCCCCTAAAAGTATAAATAAATGACTTTTGATTTGAGGCGGGGGTAATTGGGAATTGATCCCAAGTGTGCTTAACCCCTGAGCCACAACCCCAGCCCTTTTTTGTATTTTATTTTGAGACAGGGTCTCAATGAGTTGCTTAGGGCCTAAGTTGCTGAGGCTAGTTTAAAACTTGTGATCCTCCTGACTCAGCCTGTAGAATCACTGAGATTATAAGCATGCGCCATGGTGCCCAGCTCTTTTCATTTTTTTTTTAAACATTTATATTTTAGTTGTAGGAGGACACGAGGACACAATACCTTTATTTTATTTTTATGTGGTGCTGAGAATGGAACCCAGTGCCTCACGCATGCTGGGCAAGTGCTCTACCTATGAGCCACAACCCCAGCTCCTCTTTTGATTTTTTTAAAATTATTTTTTGAATTTGGGGTTTTAAGGATTTTTATCTTTTCTGAACTTCAAAATTTCAGGTTATGGCAATCTGGGATTGTACCTTTGGTGATTATGGTCCAAACCAATCCTGGTCACATGTCTAAACTCAAGCACTGACTCCATTTTTCTGTATTTCTTGTTTTCTCCTGAAGCCAGGGACAGAGCTCAGGACCTCATAATTGTGTACATGCTAGGCAAGCACTCTCCTACTGAGCAACATCCCTAGCCCTTTTCTTTAAATTTTATTTTGACATAGTCTTGTTACATTTCAGAGGCTGGTCTTGAACTTGCAATCCTCCTCCTCAGCTTCCCAAGGAGCTGGCACTATAGGCATGGCCACTGGACCCGGCTCAATAGCAAATTTCTTTCTTTCTTTTTTTTTTTTTTTCCCCCTGGTACTGGGACTAAACCCAGAGGGGCTTTTACCTCTGAGCTATATCCCTATTCCTTTTTATTTTGAGACAAAATCTCACTAAGTTGCTTAGGACCTCACTAAATTGCTGAGACTGGCCTTGAACTTTTAATCCTCTGTCTCAACCTCCAGAGTCACAGGGATTACAGGTGCCACAGCACCCAGTTCAATAGCACATTTCCTTTTTTCTTTTTTTTTTTTCAGTTGTTGATAGACCTTTATTTTACTTATTTACGTGTAGGGCTGAGAATCGAACTCAGTGCCTCACTCATGCCAGGCAACTATGCTACTGCTGAACTCCAGCCCCAGCCCCTAATAGCACATTTCTTAATGGTTGCCTTAAACTGCTCTAAAAATAAACTTGAATGTGAGTATTTCAGACATCAGTAACATCAGTGGCAGTGACAATGTGATAGGGTCACAAGCATAAGTGGAAAAAGCGTGAAAAGAGGCTTTAGAGGGTACGTGTTCTGAAGGCAGACTTGACTTTTCTTTTCTTTTTTTTTTTTTTTTTCAGTACTGGGGATTGAACCCAGGACCTTGCATGCTAGGCCTATGTTCTACCACTGAGCTACACCCCCTACCCTGAAGGCATTCATTGTAAACAGTGGTGACTGAAATCTAGTCTTACTTGGTAAGGGGCAGAGCTCTGACTGTTTTGTTCAAAAACACTTTTATTCACATTCTATAAAGCTAATCCCTTCAAAGTGTCTAAAATTCATCTGAACACAATAGTATGCCATGCCTGGCTTCATGTTAAATTATTCTTAGGAATTTTATTCTGCTGGTTGTAGTAGTACCTGTAATCCCAGCTACTTGGGGCTGAGGCAGGAAAATCACCAAGTTTGAGCTCAGCTGGGCAACTTGGTAAGACCCTGTCTCAAAATAAAAAGGGTGCTGGACATGGTGGCACAGGCTTATAATCCCGGTGACTGTGGAGGCTAAGGCAAGAGTATTTTCAAAGCCAGCCTCAGCAATTTAGCAAAGCCCTAAGCAATTCAGCAAGACCCTGACTCAAAATAAAAAATAAAAAAGGAGGCTGTCACTGTTTGTGGCTCAGTGATAGAGCACTTGTCTAGCACGTGTGAGACACTGGGTTCCATCCTCAGCACCACATAAAAAATTTAAGTCATTGTGTCCATTCTACAACTAAAAATATTTTTTAAACAATAATAATAAAAATTTAAAAAAAAAGGACTAGGGATGTCACTCAGTGGTTAAGTGCCCCTGGATTCAATCCCTGGCACTAAAATAAATAAATAAATAAAAATAAAAAGTAAAGAGGGCTAGGGATGTGGCTCAATGTTAAGCATCCCTTAGTTCAATCCCTAGTGAAGAAGAAGAAGAGAAAGAGGAGGAGGAGGAAGAGGAGGAGGAGGAGGAGGAGGAGGAGGAGGAAGGACTGGGATATAGCTCAGTGGTAGAGCACTATTGTATAAGGAAGAATTTTTCTTTTTTTTT